ACTTGCTAATTTGCAAAGAAAACACTCGCCTAATTTCAAACCACACTTCACAAACACTTTCAAAACCAACTTTCAAAAAACCTTGAAACATCTTTTCAAAAGACAAAACACCTTTTGTAAAACATTCGAGTAAAGAATTGTTACAAGGGTAGCCTATACAAGGCATCTTTTCAAAACATTTTCAAAAACCACACACCAAGCACCATTTCAAACAATTGAAAACCAAGGCAAGTTGATCTAAGCAAGTACCTAAGAGCCCATGGATAACCATGGATAGAAAGGGTGCTAATACCTTCCCTTTCTATAATCTACTCCCCAAACCCAAGAAAAAATCTCAAAGGTTTTTGCTGTGCTTTTTAAACCTTTCCTTAGGATAAAATAAAAAGTCGGTGGCGACTCTTGCTCAACCGAAACATTTTCGAAAACAAACGCAAAACCCTAGTCAGTTCTCCCACCGTATCACAGGTTGATTTGAATTTTCGCGCTTTTTTTTTGGGCATCGTGCGTTTTTATATTATATTTTATTTTGTTTACTTGTATTAACAAAAGAACCAGTAGCGCAGATGGTTGGGAGGCACGCCTTTGATGCACACGTCTTGGGTTCGATCCCATGCGTGTGCATTTTATTATTTTCCTAATTATTTCAGGCAAATCCAATACAATGCTCCCTCACACGCCTTCCATACAACCTCCATGCCCAGCCATTGGATGCCCAGCTAACCAGATCTAACGTCTCTCCCCTGAAGGTCCATGACGCTCCTCAAGTCAACGCTGGCACGAGATCCAAAGGTTGACCGGGCTTGATGCTTAATGGGCCAAAGAATTTCAATTCCACACCCCCAGAATTGCTAGTATACAGGCCCATGTTCTTCTTTTCTTTATTTATTTCTTTTGTTTTAATTATTTTTGTTTAATTATTTTCACCAAAATTAATTGTTTTTTTAAATCATAAAATTAATAAATCACAAAATACCAAAAAAAGTATTTTTTTTATAAAATATTTATTTTAACTTAATTAGAAATATAGGTTAAGATAATTTCTTTTATAATTAAAATCAAATAGAAACTAGGTTTTAATTTTACAATTAAATTTCTTTTTCTCAAATACAAAAATAAAAAATACACAAAATCTTGTTTTCTTTGTAAAATATTTAATTTTCATGAAATTATTTAATTTAGCTAGATTAGGTTAATTTAAATCTCTTTTTCAAAAACAAAAGATTAGAATTAGGATTTTAGGCGTACATAATTTAATCAATTATTTTCTCAAAAATACAACCCAAATTATTTCTCAATTAGATTTTAGGGTTTTCAATTTTTTCCCGTATTTTAATTCGCCGCGCGCTTGTTAATTATTTTTTTATCATTTTTTGTAACTGCTCAGGGTTTGTAATAGTTAATCTAGGGTTTTTATTTACTGTTTAAATCCCCGATTTTTGGTTATGTAATTAATCCCCCTCTCCGAAGCCTTGTAATAGCTAGGTTTTATTTTCTCGCACTTTAAATTCCCGCAATCTTTAACTGTCTAGATGTATGGATAATAGGATTGTATGGCAAGAATGTCTGGAAAATTAAAACGGTAGATCACCTAATGTGCAAAGATTAAATAACTGAAACAAATCATATGCACATATTCACTCCTAGGGTTTACCTCATTTCGGTTGCCTTCAGTAAACAATTATTAAGCACATGAGATTTTAGTGGTTGCCCTCTAGTCTAAAGAGATCAAAGTGTCCCGTTCGAATGTTGCCTCGGAAACGTTGCCTCAGAAAGATTGCCTCGGAAAGATCTTAAGACTCTAGGGTTACTACTAAAGTTTTCTAACTATTGTTTTAGTGATTGTATTTGTCCCTTTAAAATGTCCCTTACAACTCCAACGACGGTGCTACCTACTCCTTAATAGTAGGATATCGCTGTCTAAAGGAAATAGAACGAACAATCCTTTTTTTGAGTAGGTAGAGTCTTAAGTACTTGCTCAATGAAAACTTTTCAAACAAACACCTTTTCAAAACAAATTTTCAAAACAAACTTCTTCACATCCTTGAGGACTGATACAAGGATTATCACGAAGCAAAAATTTTCAAAACAATCGCATACAAGCAATTTTGAAAAATGAGCAAGTACCTAAGAGCCCGTAGATAACTACGGATAGAAAGGGTGCTAACACCTTCCCTTTCTATAATCTACCCCCGTGCTCAGAATATCTCGAAAAAAAGTTTTTTCTGTTCTTTTTCCTTTTCCATGATTGGATGAAATAAAAGTTGGTCGCGACTCTTGCTTACCGCGATATTTTGCAAACACAAAACGCAAAACGAAAACCAGTATAACAGTCGGTTCTGCCACCGTATCACACACTCCTTTGAAGGCTTCCCAATACATCACGTTGATTGAGCTCCCGAGATCGACTAGCACCCGCTTAACACTCCAATCCCTGATCTGAACTTTAATGACCATGGGGTCATTTTCGTGTGGCATGACTCCTTATGCGTCTCCCGGAAGAAAGTGTCATCCTCGGGATCTCCGCTTTTATCTGTCCATTCCACCTGAGCGACATGTATTACATTATGGGCATACCTCTTTAGTGCCGATCTGGTGGAGCCTTCTCCAACAAATCCTCAAGAGATGGTATTGAGCGTGTGTCGGGTCAGTCGTGTTACTCGGACTTCATCTGTTGTTTTTCCTTTCTTCTTGGAAGGGCATTTCGAATTATCATCCCTCTTTGGAGGGCTTCATTTTCTGGCCTGCTCGGCATTACCTTTGACATAAGACAACAACTTTCCCCTTTGATCAGTTTCTATATATCCTTTTTCAGCTGATGGCAGTCCTCAGTGTGGTGTCTCCAGATCCGGCGATACACACACCAAGCCTCGACGTCATCCCCCAAGATTATGTTTACTTATGAGGACACCAAGGTCTAGGCAGCAAGTTGAGGTGATTTACATCTCTCCAGATGTCCTCTCTTTTCGCGTTTAGAGGAGTGAGGTCTTTGTTCGAAACTAAAGATCATCGGGATGGTCGGTGAAGAGGCCGCCCCTAGGTGGTGGTCGATCATGAGACCTGGTTTACTCCTTCTTCTGCCTGGAAGCTTCTTCCCGGGCCCTTCCTTTTTCTCTAGCGTCTCTAGTTCTCTTTTCTAGACTACTCTCTTCTCCTTTTAGATAGCACTCGACCCGAGTGATTATCTCATCCATGCTGACATCCAGTTTCTAGACCAATGACTCATTGAATTGGCCAGCCCGGACACTGTGCTGGAAAGCGCCACAAATATCTTCTGATTAGGATGAGAGACCTTTATGGTTTCCTCATTGAACCGAGCCATGTAATCCCTCAAGGATTTTGACTAGAGTTGACGAACATTAAACAATGTTGTTGACACCTTTTGGTGTCGACTTGTCGAGAACTGTTGAACCATCTTCTTGGTAAAGTCCTGGTAGCTGATGTACCACCTTAGGCCGATTCCTTGAAGGTGCCGACCATAAGCTTACACTTCAGCGAATCGTTAGCCATGATCATTGCCATCATATTATTAACAACAATGATGTGCTCATGGGGATCAAATTTTCTGTCGTATGTTGTAAATGTCAGAGGTTTGAAATTCTCTGGAACCTGATCGTCCCAAATAGCCTGGAATAACGGCCGAGGCTCCAAAAGCTCAAGCCCCTAGTCGCCATCATCACGACTCTTCATCTGTAGGACCTGGACGTTGTCTTGCAACGTATTGTTCTGCTGGCGAAGATCCTCAATCATGGCCAATAACTGCGCCATGCTTGAAGGGGGATCCTCTTCAGAAGACATTGCTCAAAGGTGTTTGGATAATGCGACATGGGAAAGTTTTACCAGGCCCTGTGGTAGGCGCCAAGTATTCTTGCTAAACACTAAATGAGTGACTTCTCTGCGAGTTGAAGGATATCGAGGAGAGTCTCAAGCAAGTGAGAGTGAATTATTTATGATATTAAGGGATTTGGAGGGTCACACAAGTATGCGTGAACTCCAAGCGATGTGTCTTGCTTATCTCTCAGTCGGGAGCCCTATATATAGAGGTATTTGGACCTCATTGATCACTGCATGTAACTGTTATGACTCTCCATCATACGTAATTGAGTTGCCATTAAGACAAGAAACGTTCGCCGTTGCCAATGATGTCTGTTATCATAACACGCGCCGCTATGTATTGATGAGCGATTACACTCTTAATGGGTCGATCACTCTATAACGGCCTCATCAAGGCCGAACTCTATGTAACCTTTGGATTCAGGGATAAGCCCGACTGACGCCTCTTCATCTTTCTCGTTGACCGACCACATATGCCTCCGACTATACAATCCGATTCAGGCATGATGATCTTAAACCGAGATATTATCCGGCTAAACATTTATTCGTCCTCCTTAGTCTTTTATCCATGTCTTGTCTTTTTATCTTTCTTAGCCCGAACAATATATATATATATATATATATAATTTTGTTTATAAGAGATTGAATCATAAATTAATCATTTATATTTATTTAATTCAAAATTAAAATTATTTTTTACAATTGATTACATAAAAACATACAAAAATTCTAAAACTTCTTTTGTTATATTAGATTGTTTATTCTACTTTATTTTCCTTGATGAAACAAAAAATAAAAGTTTCTTTGTTTATTTGTCTCAAAAATGAACTTTTAAATTTAATTGTTACAAGTTAGTTTTTGAAATATGAGAATTAAATTAAATTAAATAGTGTGGTATAATTAAACAATGTGTAAATGAGAGAATGTAAAAAAAAAAGTGTAGGGTAGGTTGAATGGAAATAGTATTTGAGTTGGAGCATGAGTTGAGCATCTGGAGACACAATCAACACGCGCCCGCGCAGTGTTTGAGACAGAAGAAAGCAAACCCCAAATCAAATGGTTCCTTCCGATTCCGACAACCAAAGCTCGATCTGAGTATCTTACTCAACAACAACAACAACTTGTTACACACTATTGATAGTAGTTGCAAGCACAGCAGTAGTACAAGTATGAATAGCAGCGGTGGCAGTAATGGAGGAGGAGGAGGAGGAGGAATGATGGGTTTCAGTAAATCATCACCTTTTACAGTTTCTCAGTGGCAGGAACTTGAACATCAAGCTTTGATCTTCAAGTATATGGTTGCTGGTCTTCCTGTTCCACCTGATCTCGTTCTTCCCTTTCACTCTCACAACTTCTTTCACCATTCTATTCCTACCCGTAACTTGCTTACTTTTCTCTATATTTCTAATACAATATCTAATACAATTCCCCTAACTAACTGGGTTTGTAAATTTACAGTGAGTTATTGTTCCTTCTATGGTAAGAAGGTGGACCCGGAGCCTGGACGATGTAGGAGGACCGATGGAAAAAAATGGAGGTGCTCTAAGGAAGCATACCCTGACTCCAAATACTGTGAACGCCACATGCACCGTGGCCGCAACCGTTCAAGAAAGCCTGTGGAATCACAAACAACTCTTGTCGCTGCTCCCACCACTACACCTCCTAACTTCCACACGACAAATGCCTTTGCTACTCATCTCGATACCATTCCCTATGGGATTCCAAGTAAAGAATACAGGTCAACAATTGCTCATTAGTCACGCTTGTTCATTGCTTCCAATTGGAAAATACTTGTGGATCTGCTTTTATATCTCAATTTGCTGCAGCTCAGTTTTTTGTTGTTACATAACATGGATTTCTAATTCTATGCACACATTTACTACCATTATAACTACGTTTTTGTATAAATTGTCTAGATAGAGGATGACTAGAGCTGTCAGTTACTTTGCACCACTTAGCAATTTCAGCTCTTTACACTATATTCTCAACTCTTATTTGTTCATGTCTACTTGCTACTTTTTCTTCTCTTTATTGTGTTGCCTCATGCTCTAAGTTTCTAACACAAGAGCTAGACAGCTAGATAGTAGATCTCCATGAATCATAATTGTTCCCAAACCACCTTTTTCATTCATACTTGGACAAAATTGTCTCCTTTAATTGCATTCTGTTTTTTTTTTCTTTCCTTCCTATGCATTCATTTATTCCTAGAACATAAAGTGTATATTAAAACAATGAGAAACATTTATTCTGCCTGTCAGCCTGCCATTACTGTCACATGGGGATAATGAGTAATGGTAGGTACACTGATTCAATGTTTTATAATTTTATCTTTAGTACTACATGATGCATTTCCTTCATTACTTTCAGACAAAACAGTGTTTCATCTTTTCTCTTCATACACCCTTCATAAAAAGCTGCAAATTTTATTCTTTTTCCCTAACCATGTCATGTTCCTCTCTTTGAAATTCTAAGTTGCAAACAGATATTTCTTTTCATGTTCATATTTATATGACATCACAATTAAATATCAAATTCTACACAGAAAAATAAAAGGAAAAAGCTTGTGATTGATATTTCATTTTGACGTCAGCCAAATTTACTTGGGAGGCTGTTGTCACTGGCACTGATTGTATTAAAATATATGATTGCGTTCTGAAAAGCTTGAACTTTTGATGATTTTCAGCACCTTTGCTATCTCAATATGGTTTCATTTCATTCAATTTTATGGGACCTTGATTGAGTAATTCCATCGTATGATGATATTATTTATCTTTAATTTTTGTTTCTACGGTATCTATTGCAATGTTATGTCATGATTTCATTCAAAATAATGAGATGTCAAGAACACATTAATTTCATTGAATAATAGTTACTTTATTACTAGGAAAGCATTGTCACCACAAATTTTTGCCTTCAATTTTTTCTTGTTTCTAATGTCATATAATCATTGTCATTGAATAATAGTCTATGCCGAGTTTCTCTATGGCTGGAAGCCACAAGGTGTAATAAGCAAAAACACTTTTTTATCCTACATGAGTTGACCAACATCGTTATTCCTCGTCCCTTTAACTGTGGGCTACTTTACTTGAACTGAACAGGTATCTTCAAGGTCTTAAATCTGAGGGCGGAGAACATAGCTGCTTTGCAGAAGCTTCAGGAGGAGGCAACAAATGTGTCCAAATGGAGTCTCAGCTAGAAAACATATGGCCTTTGATGTCAACCAGAGTTTCCTCTTTTTCTGCATCAAAATCAAGTAATAATTCCATGGGGCAGAGTGATTATCCCCAGCATTCATTTTTATCAACTGAATATGGATCTGGAGAAGCTGTGAAGGAAGAGGGCCAGCCTCTTCGGTCCTTTTTCAATGAATGGCCTAAGAGCAGGGAGTCATGGTCTGGTTTGGAAGATGAAAGATCCAACCAAACAGCCTTCTCCACTACTCAACTCTCAATATCCATTCCCATGTCATCTTCTGACTTCTCTGCCACAAGCTCTTAGTCGCCACACGGTGAGATATACTTATTTTCGGTTAAGTTTTGGACTATAAGCAACAACTGTCGATTAACTGAATCTTGTAATTATATTGTTGCAGATAAGTGTTATATGGAAGGACAAAACAAGTCTAGTCTGATAAGTGCTGTCTGTCCCTGTGTTTGTGTATTTTCTTTTGTTGAAGCTGATTTGTGTACAACTTTATGGTTTGTTGTAAGAAAGACCAACATCTATCTACCTGTCTTGTGGAAGGAGTGGATACTTATAGAACTCCTATAATCTTTGTTTTGTATGTAATGAACAAGCATAATTTTTGTTCGTTCTGAATTAATGTATGCTGAATAAAGTCGCTGCTGTTGTTCTTGAATATTTGATGCACCGGTTTGATTAATGTATACTCTAGAAGACACGAAGAGTCTCTTGCAACATTTACATTAAGCTGCAAAAGCCAAATCGTAATCTTTCTAAATTATTATTATTATATGCATGAAAGACTGGTTTCCGATGTAGTATGTATGAATTATGCCTCCCATCTGAATCCTCATCACCACCACACAAACATCCAACAGCAGTTTCCCTTAATCATTTAATAACAATCACTCTCGAAGCACACATCTAGTTCTAAAATTAACTCCTGTAAATGTTGTTTCGTTCTTTTGAAACACATTTCTGAACTGTTAGTTGGTGTGGAGGTAAAAATTGTATCCACCCAAGTAGCTGAGGATGCCATCCACAAGAGGAGAAACATGTTGGGAAGGATATTTTTACTTGGCTTTCACAACACATCCTCTGCTTGGTTTAAGAAAAATACCAAGGAGACATTGAGGAAAGAGAAAGTAAGTAGAGAAATAGAAATCGCACACAAAGAACATTTAATCCGCCACCCCAAAATTAACCCTGATATCCTCCAATGACAATGCTATTACTTTTATGTCCTTACAAAATTGTTATGAATTTTTTTTGTTTACTGGAAATTTTAAAAAAATATTGGATTTTTCTGAAATTTTTTAGATTTTCTGACGGAATTTATTTTGTACTATCGGAATTTTCGGTAGTATACATTTTTTTAATTTCTTTTTGAAAAAATTTATACTTAAAATTTTGTTCTTGCTACCCCGAATTTGTTTATGGGCAATTTAGAAATTAAGGAAAAATGGAGGTGCCAAGTTTAATTTGGGGTGTCAAGTTAAATCACCGGCACCAAAGCAATAGTAGAGAATGACATAAGACAATTTGGCGCACATTTTTCAAGAGAATTTCTTAGTACACTCTTATAGATAGGGGTGAAGTAAAGTTCTGTAGACCCAAAAATGTGTTTCAGATATGTATATTCTAATTTTTGTAAAAAAAAGAAAGTATTTTCGGATATACATCTCTGAATAAACTTTTTTTTTTTACGAAAAATTAGTATTTGATTTAATGGTGGATCTTTTCAAATAGTAATGTTTATGATGAGAGATTCAGACCTCTCCGTTTAATTTAATTTTTAGTTTTCAATAAATTTGTAATCAATTGGTGGTGAGAGAAACAGGGAGTACCGAACTCAAGAATTTTTAACGTATTCTTTTTCTTTTATTCAACAAAATGAAGCTAATCGGTAAACTCATTGGTTTCTCCAGAATTTGTGCTTTTAGACTCAATGTCATATTAGTTGGTTGTGTCGAAAATACATCTTCTTCTTATTTTTTTGTTTAAAAAACACAATAGAGAACTTTTCGGATATGCATATCCGAAAACACCTCTTTTCGTAAAAAATAAGGTTTGTTCGGATATTCATATTCGAATATATATATATATATATATATATATATATATATATATATATATATATATATATATATATATATATATATATATATATATATATATATATATATATATATATATATATATATATATAGGATATTTTCGGATATGCATCTCCGAAATTAAGTATTTTGTGGAAAAAAAGGTGATTTCGGATATGCATACCTGAATTCAGAGGATATTACCGAAATTCCGCCAAAAACTTCTAAGAAGACATAAGAGTGCATTAAGAAATTGTTTTTTTTTTTATTCTCCACCATGGTTCAAAGCAAAAGAAAGAATGTTTTACTTTTTTTTCTTCTTTCCTTTTGTTTGCTCTTATTTTTGTGAGGAATTGTATGCACTTGTTGAAAATATTAACATTGAAATCAGATTAATAATTAAATTAAAATTGTTAATTTACATGGCTAAATTAAAGTTATTTAGAGGTCATTATGATTTGTTTGTGTAATTTTATTAGGCTTATAAAGAGATTGTCCAAGAAAAAGCGAGCCAAAGAAGCAGTTGGATTGCTGGCAAGCGTGTACTGGATCAACCATTGAGTTTGGATCGTCTAACTCGAACCTATGCGTATGTTCCATTTGTTTTTGCTCGCAAGGGTTATGAGGTGTCTAAGGGAAACCAGATTAGGTCATGACAACAAAGGAGGAAATTGTCCCTCCAATATTTGAAAAAAACATGTTTCCCTTTCCCACGCTCCCATGTATCTGTCGGGAAGCTAGGGAAAACAATCTCCCCACCTATTATCCGACTTAGAAAACTATCTATAAATACTCCAACCTTAGGGGCTTGGAGATTCATTCACTAATTCTACAAAACATATCATAGGGTTCCTCTTGCAATCGTACATGTAATCAGGCTCTCTCAGATTATTCTATTTCACAAGTACAATTGACGTCCACCATGAGATCTAAGTAAAACTAACATATACCACACAGAAATCCAAATTTCAACCACTTTTGTAACCTTCTTTAACATTATGATACAATGAAGCGCCACTACAACTACTAGTGCCAGCCACAACGACCATAAAGCTTTAGTAGAGATGTGGGTTGCTACATAATCTATGTTGTTTCAATTATACGTTTGAGGTGAATGTCCTAGCCCTTCAAGAGAGGCACCACAAATAATTTCATTTAGAAGGTGAGGTCTTGGACCCCCATCCTTTCTCAGGTTAGATTCGGGGCGCTCTAGTACTAGAGAACTTCAAACCACCATCACTGGTGAAGTTCGACGAAAAGAGCAACCCCCAAAAACACATTGTCGTCATCAACACTCAAATGAAATTCATCGATGGGTTCAACTCTTTGAAGTGCAAGCTCTTGTCCAACACATTCAAGGAGGCGGCCATGAGGTGGTTTATGAACCTTCTCCGCTTCTCTGTAACCAATTATCAGGATCTCTCCAAGAAACAGGTCCACAATTTCTCTCTGAATAAGCACCAGAATAAGCCACCACTAGCATGTTAAATTTCCTCCAGGGACACTTTGAGTCGTTGAGAGAGTACTTCACATGTTTCAGTGAGGGGACCATCAAGTTAATTCACCCAAACCAGGAGATGTTTGTGGCAGCATTCCAAAACGGTTTGAGAATTGAGAAATTCAATAAGTCTCTCTCCCAAAATCATGTTTCCTACATGAATGAAAATGAAAGACGTCAAAATCATGATATTCACCCATCTCCAGACCCTAAGATAAATATGGGCCCCGTACTCGGCAAATGGGGAAAGTACCACAAGGTGATGGGTTATCACACTAAAATCGCCTATGAACTTAAGAAAGAGATTGAGTGACTTATCCAAGATGGGCATCTAAATAAATATGTCTGAGGGGGATATTAATATATTGGACCAGGATTCAGTACTCATGGGCGAGATCATCCCAAAAGCCATAGATTTAGGAAAGACAAAGAACCTGAAAGAAGAGGCGAGGACATACTAGTCTGCCACACTTTGAACACCATAGTCGGAGGGTTCACATGTAAAGGAAAGTCTAGATCTTCTTATAGAAGATATGCATGGCAAGTTATCCACTCTATTTGCACTATCAAAATAAGAGATCACCCCCCCCAATTCAGGGTCCACCCAGCGGTACAAACAGGAATCCTCAAGCTCCACCTAATTTGCACGCACCTTACGAACATGTCCTTTCGACTGTCATTAAAAAGATAATGTTAATCACAAACTACACAGTGGCTCTAAAAATTAAGGTGATCCCTAATTTTTATATCTCTAGAATCTCGGACATGGGTCGTCCTAAAGGTGCTAGTGAAATAGAGAGTATGCTGTAATTGCAAGCTTCTCAAGTCATATTTAAAGCATTTGTTTTGATGAAGACAACGTGGATATCAACATTCAAAGGATGTGCAAAAAGCCTATTCAACATCATATAGAAGTCTTGAAGATTATTAGAAGAATTATTGTAGAATCAACAAATGTCAAATGGTATAAATAATTCTTAATCTTGAATATAGATGTTCACAAATATGCATTCATAATCATATACATATCCCACATGTTTACATTTAAGAAAAACTTTGTTTGAAATCTTTTTCAAAAAGAATTTTTGAAAATAACCTTTTAGGAACCAGTTCCTCCATAACAGGGAACCGGGTTCCAAAACTTGTTCAAAAACATGTCCCTGGAATTTGTACCAGGAACCGGGTTGTACCAATAGGGGAACCGGTTCCTGCGTAATATTTTTGAAATCTGAGTTATAACGTTCACTAAGAACCGGGTTCTTCCTGTGTCGGAACCGGTTCCTAGCGAACCAGTGCAGCTTTTCTTTTGGTTGTTGAACATTTTTCAAGTGGTACTCTTTCATGAATGCATTGTAACTTTTCATATGAATTGGCATGAATGAAGAGGTTCTTGTGACTTTATAAAATGTGCAGTTTTTCAGATTTTCATAACAACAATAAATCAATCATAACTTTCAATATACAAAAAAAAACCTTCTTCAATAAACATTTTTCTCATTCATTCAAATTTGTACTTAAACTTTCATGTGTTCATAAATTTTGTGAAACTTGCCATATACACTTTCATTAAGAAATCATTACAAGTTTCATACATACATTGTGAACTTTTATATACATTGCTTGAGAATTGTTTCTATCTTGAAGAAGAAGATCAATTGAAGATTGATAGTGCTCTCCATCTATTTCAAAATAAATCATTGTATTACTTAAAGAAATTATTC